AACGTTATTATTTTTTTGTAAAAAAAAATCTCTCTCATTCCCAAAAAAAAAAAAAATTAAATCTTTTTATTTTTTTTTTTATTTTTATCTTTATCTTTTTCGAAAGAAACATTTCTCAAAAAAAAATTCCAATAATTTTTTTTTTTTTTCTTTTTTTTTTTTTTTTTTAGTTAGCACAACTAACTATGTATTCTCCACATAGCTAGTCCTTTTATAGCCAAAAAGGTTAATGAAGCCTTTTATTAACCACTTATAGAATAATTAGATGTATCAGCAAAACAGAATTATCCAGACTCAGGAAATGATAAATAAGTTATTCTTTTAATCTATTCCTTTATTTTTTCAAAAACCAAAGAATTTTATTCATTACAAATAAACTTTTTCCTTTTAATTAATAATGGAACTAATTTATATATTTATTTTTAAAAATTTAAATATAATTTCTATAATAATTAACAGCTCTCAGAAATTATCTTAATTGTTTCTTATATCTAGGCTATTTTGCCTATATGCTGATTTTTATCTTATCCAATGAAGGTTTAATACCTTTATGATTAATAATCTGTCCTTAATATGCTATAGATGTCTTAAAGATTTTACATTTGTCTATACTTATTTCTAAACAAATATTAATAAGTGGTCTATATAAATTTCCTAGTATTTTAAAGTGTTCTATAGATTTTGCTAAAATGGTGATGCTATTAATATACAAAATTACATAATTTCCTCGAATTAATTACTTAACATATTTTCCATTATTCTTTGAAAATGTATAGTTCTATTTTTCAAACCAAGTTCTAATACACTAAATACAAATATTCCACATTTGGGTAGTATAATTCCAGTGTATTGTTTAATATTTTAAATTAATACCAAGTTCTAAAATATGTTTTTAAAACATATTTTCGAAAACCATTTAGTACAACAAGGTATCCGAAATATCTGTTTCACATAAAGTAAAACATATGAATAATCTAATACATATTTATTTAAATTCTTACAATCTACAGTAATTTTCCATTTGTCATCCTTTACGCTAACTAATATTATATGTAAAATTTATCTTGTATTATGAACTTTACTTATAACATTCATCTCTATCATCTCATGAATTTTTTTACGAACTTTAATCAATATCACTTTGCTCAAAGGGATGAAGTTATGTCTCTGGGGTTTTCCTTGAACATCAATAGATATTTTATATTTGTCTAATACTCTATTCATCTTTTTTTCCCTAAGTAATGAATTAGATTCATATAACTCTCTTAATTTATTCTTATCTTCTTGAGACTGTAAATCCGTTTTATGAATAAAATTTTGAATTATTTCTTGATTAGTGTCATCCAGATTCTTTTTTTCATCTCTTTTAACTTTTATTATATATATAATCGTCTTTATACTTTCTAATGGAATATTCTAATTGTTCATTACTATACCTCTGATTAAAATAAATGGTTTGTTTATTTTTTTTTATACCAAATATTGTTTGAGTCTGTTTATTTGTAGACTTCATCCTAATTACAACTTTTTTAGATATCTGTACCTTCTTTCTATTGAATATTAAAAAAACTTTAATTGATAATACTCTTAAATTTTGCTCATTTCTAGTTTCTTTTGTTGATATATTAGATATATGGTTTATTAACTGGATGTTCGGTGACTTTGCTAGAGTAGCGAACAAACAAATTAATAAAGAGCATGTAGATTGCCTCAACGATTTTGGTATATTTATATATATTTTTAAATTCTTTGAACGAGTGGTTCTTAATTATGTGATCTACTTCGTTCAGCATTCTTTGATTTAAATAGGTATTTATTTACTTTAATAAAAATCCTTATTCTTATTAAAAATTTAAATCCTTATTGAATATTGATTATTATTTAATTGTAAATTATTTATTTCTTTGTTATGAGTTATGTTCAGCAATTTAAATTTATTACTGTTGAATTAACAAACATAAACAATTTGTAATAATGCAAATTAATTATATGAATATTAATTACGTGAAAATTTTATTGTCATATATATAAAATTTTCTCTCACAAATTAAAAATATAAATATTATGCAAATTAAACTCTTTTATGTGTAAATATTTTTATCTGTTTAAGATCTAATTTTTATTGGTACTAAATCTTACTACCGATTTTTATTTTACCAATTTTTCTCTAACCAATTCAATCATTTAAAAAAAAAACATAAATATATTTTCTTTTTACGTATCTCCATTTATTAAAAGAAAAATATAAAAAAAATTCAATAAATTTTTTTTTTTTTTTTTTTCCGCGTGTCCATAACCAACTACGTATTCTTCATATAGCTAGTCCTTTTTATTACTAAAAAGGTTAATGAATCCTTTTATTAACCAATGTCCTATTTTTTTAAGATTATTTCCTAAAAATATTTTGAATATAAGAACAATTTATTTAAACAATATATGGAAATAAGTTCATTAGGATTTAAAAGATTGATGAAGATACCATTAGTGTCAATTAACCATATTAATGTTGTTAATATTATTTCACACCAGCTAATTATGAAAGGTATCAATTGAAACATTCTAGTGGTAATAATCAACACAAACCTTAATGGTTTTTACCTTATAAGATTACTAAATTAAAAATAGATGAATAATAGTTGTACCTATATATTATAGAGATAAAGCGATTAAAACTTCATTTTCTAAAATTAAATTATTAGATAATAATACTATAGAAATATGTGAAATTAAGTTAAGAATTCTGATATAAGTTACTGAAGTTTATAAAAGAAAGTCTGAATTTATACGTGAATTAAAACTTAAAAGCCATTCAGATATTTATAAAAGATATTTTACAACACCGCACTAATTATATTGTAATGGAGATAATAAGATAAATAAAAACATATGAAAAGGGCTCTAAACTATAAGAAAACTTAGAGAAAATAAAATAAAATAATGTTATTGTTTTTCCCATGTTGGTAGAGTATGATCTATAAATAATATTTTAGATCTCTTGTATAATATTTAGATAGACAAAAAGAATAAAAACTTTGTATTTATGCAAACTGAATCGCCAGAATAGTATGCAATCATAAATACATACCCTAAAATAGTTACTCAAAAAGTACTTACATTAAAAAAAAAATTATTCAAATATTTTTTTTTGCATATGGCATTGACTAAAAAAAAAAAAATATTATGATAATATTCTTTTTTATTTTCTCTTTTTTAATTATTAAAGAAAAACTTAATTTATCTTTTTTTTTTTTTGAAAAATGATGTGTAAATTATTATATAGTACATATTTTTTTTAAGTTAAAATGTAATATTAAAAAGATTTCATTTTAGAAGGTCGTTTAAATTAACTTAAAAAAAATAAATTAATCAATGACTAGCATTTGATCTTGATTAAGAAAAATAAAAATTTTAAATTAAAAGTAAATTAAATAGAGTCAAATGTTCTATTAATTTGTTTATTTGAAATTAGAAAAATCATTAAATAGATAATTCATAAATCCGTACAATTAATAATGATAAGTTTAAAAAAAAAAATTAAAAAATTAAAATTTTAAAATTATAATTAAAAATAATTGATTTTTATGAATTCAAAAAAAAAATTATTTTACATTATAATATAATTAACAAAGTGTTAAATATATATTTATATTAAGTATTTAATATTAATAATTGAATATATATTTTAATTATTTATTTTAAAATAAAAACTTAAATCATATTAATTTTTTATTTTCTTTAAAAAAAAAGAAGAAATTTAAAGAGTAAAATTTTAAATTAAGAATAGTATTCATGTAAAAAGCAATGTTAATTATTTCAATGTATATTTATGTACCTAAGATTATGCATGTATATATATTAGCTCTGATTATGGTAAAAAAGAAAAACAGAAAATTTAAAAGTGATCATCTTATTAATTAAATTGCAAACATAGTTATAATAGTTCTATGGATTTTTAAGATATAAAATAATAAATAAATTTTAATAACATAAAGAATAACATTTTTTTTTTAATTCGTATTGAATATTCTCTATTATATTTTTATTATTCATAGTAATTTAACGATATAATTATGTTTAATAAAATAATAACTAGTTGTAGAGAAAAACAATTAAAATTAAAAATTAGTGCATGTATCAAAGTCTTTATAAAGAAATTATATAATCATAAAAATCCCTAAGAAAAAAAAAAGAAAAAAAATGAAAAAAAATAAATAAAAGAAAAAGAGAAATGTATGCATTTATAATAATAATAAAAATGGAGATAATTCTAATTTAGAAATAAAAATTGTAAATAAGATATAAACTATGAAATACATATTAAATATGTAGTCAAAAATAATTTTAATTTTATTTCAACGATAACATAGATATATTACCATATAAGAATATTTTAATTATAGTAAAAAATTATTACTAATTATAAATTTGGGTACATGCATACATATATTCTATGAAAAGAAAAAATGATAATATTTCAATAAAAATTAAGGAAAAACCAATTATGGTTTCAATTCTGTATTTACACATATAACCTTAATATAAAAAATTATTAAAAAATTAATAACTAAAAAAAGAAATCATATATATACAAAATAAAATTTTATATCAGTAAAGATGGTGATTTATTAAATTTCTTTTTGAGCAATTTCTTAAAAAAATTATAAGTATAATAAGTTTTAAAATTACTTATTAATACATGCATAAATACGCATTCTTAATAACATAATATAAATAAACATTTTAAGCAATATGAAAATATAATATCTTCTAAGATATATTGCTCTGATATTTTTTTTTCCTTAATATATAAATGCAATTCTTATATATATATATATATATAACTTTTTTTTAAATCTATTATCTATATAAAGAAAAAAAAAATTTTAAAAGTAATTTTTTAAATTCAACTGTTTTACTTGACTCTTCTTTTAAAACATAAAAAAAAATAATAAACAAAAATTTATTTTTATGTAAAAAGAATAAATTAATTTAAAAAAAAAATGAACAAGAAAAATAATATTTTTCTTATCCCTAATATTAATAAATATACTGGATACTATTCTCATTTAGACAAAAACTTTATTACTGCATATATGTCAACTTCAAATATAAACATGAAAAAGGAGAAAAGAAACATATTAAATTTTCTTATAAATTTTTTTATATTTATCCTTTTAATTTGGATATTACAGTGTTTTAATAATGTAGGATAGTAAAAATATTTAAAGATATTTATATTTTTTCAATATAACTATTTTTTTAAGCCGAAACTTTATTAGCATAAAAAATCTTTTTTTAAATGCTCCATTTTTTTTTTCCTATTTTAGTGTGATTCTTGTAGTTTGTGGAATAACAAAAGAGATTTAAAAAGCGTAATAAATGTAGATATTAAAAGATCATTAGCAGAAAGTAAAAATACAACGGAACAAATAAGTGAAGAATTAAAATGTTATAAAGAAAAAGATACAATAGAAATAGATTTAAATTCAAGGAATGATCAAAGAGAAATGGAAGAGAATATAGAAGTAGAACTAAAAAATGAACTAGAGACAATGAAGGATAATGAAAAAGTAAAAACGAGTGAGGGAATTTTGCAATTTTGTAAAGGTTGTTTAAAAATTGTTTCCTTATCTATTGCCTTTATCTTATCATTTTGTTCGTCTGTATTAATTACAGCAGAGAGTCCTCACTTTGGTCCAAAAACTCCTTATGATAGATCAAATATTCATTCATTAACTATATTAACTAATTTATCTCTTATGATAATTTCAATTATTTTAATACACGAACGAGTTGTAATAAAATATAAAAAAAAACGTTAGATGGCTTTTGTAATCAAAATTATTATATACTAAAAAAAAATATATAGATAGTTAAAAGTTTCCTAAATGTTACTATAACTTCGATTTGTTAACCGCCTATGCAATAACGTTTAAAAAGTACTAAGAATACAATAAAAAGCAAGTAGAGTAATCTTTGCAAATTTCTTTTATTATAGATATATTTTTATATTGAATGCGTGAATTTTATAAATTGCACTATCTAACATGAAGTGAATAATCTGTTTCATGAAACATTTATAACATTTTAAATAAAAGAATTTAACTTAAGTATTTTTATTATTTTTAATACAATAATTATTCTATAATAGTCATTTACTAAATTTAAAAAAAATTCTTATTATTTTTGTTGTTACTTAAATAGTCGTTATAGAGAATTTTTTATTAAATTAAGCAAAATTTTTTCTTACATATATATCAGTTAACCTTCATTTTCCAATAACTTATAATTTTTCACAAATACAAATTCTCTCTATTTGATTTATTAAACAGACATTTGGTAACTTTGGTATGGTAATGGTTAATAAAAAGAATTATTAACCTTTCTTAGGATGAAAATAAGTAGCCATGTGGAAAATACATAGTTAGCCATGCAAACGCTAGATAAAAAAAAAAATATTGATTAATTTTTTTTTTTTTTTTTTAAAGCATCAAATATGTAAAAAAAATATATTTATTTTTTTTTTAAAACAGGAGGAAGGATTAAAAAAAAAGAGAATAATGATAAAAAATATATTAGAAGTATTTTTTTTTTTGACAAAAGAGTTTCTTTTGTATTGAATTTATATTTTGAATTTTTAAGAGAAAATTTTATATGAATAATAATAAAATTTTCATGTGCGTACTATTTATATAATTTAATTTGTATATTATTAATTGTGTACATTTGTTAATTTGAACACAATATATTTAAGTGTTAAACATTATTCGTAACATTATAATTAAAAACGCATAAATATAAATAAATAATCAATGAGGATTTATTTATTTAAAATAATAATACAATTCTTATTAAATTAAATAAATCCCTCATAAAAACTAACAAATTCTAATAAAGTAGATTACATATAGTTTATTTTTATATAACATTATAAATTATTCATAAATTCACTAAATTGTATAGGCAACTCTACATACTCTCTATTAATTTGTTTTTTTAGTACTCTAGAAAAATTACCAAACAAGCAATTAATAAAGTAGGTAATGAACAAAAAAATTATTAAAAAACATATATGATAATCTGGAGTATTCTTATTTATAGTAAAAGCACCTTTGTTTTAAATAATCAAATTTTATATAGTTATATTGTATAATTGGTTTATAATAATATTGACCTATTTTCAACAATATTTAAATGAATAAAATGACTCAAAACATTTTTATTTATATACGCTAAAATAAAGGCTAAACATGCATACACAAATATGTGCACTAAAAAATAAGGTAACAACAAATATGTACATTAAAAAAAAATAATTGCACTAAAAACATATTAAAAAAAAAATACTTGCTCCAAAAGTCCACTAGAAAAAAAAGTGTACAAATTTTATTGTATTTTTTTTCTGTACATGACTCTGAATTAAAAATTTTATGACTTTTTTTTTTGGACTTATGTGAAGTATTTTTTTTATGAATTATTAAAAATATTTTTTATTAACTGGGTGTTTGGTGTCTTTGTTATTTATTAATTGGATGTTCGGTGACTTTGCTCAAGTACTGAACAAACAGATTAATAAAGAGCATGTATAGATGCCTCTACGATTTTGGTGTACTTATATATACTTTTATATGCTTTGAACTAGTGATTCTCAATTATGTGGTCTACTTTGTTCAGCATAATTTTATTTCAATAGGCATTTATTTACTTTAATAAAAATCTTTATTTTTATTAAAAATTTAAATCCTTATTGAATATTGATTATTATTTAATTGTAATTTATTTATTTCTTTGTTATGAGTTATGTTCAGCAATTTAAATATATTGCTGTTGAATTAACAGACATAAACAATTAGTAAAAATACAAATAAATTATGCGAATATTAATTACGCGAAAATTTTATTATCATATATATAAAATTTTCTCTGACATATTAAAATATAAATATTATTCAAATTAAACTCTTTTATGAAAACATTATTATCATTTTAAAATATCATTTTTATTGGTACTAAATCTTACTCTCGATTTTTATTTTACCAATTTTCTTTTCTTCTCTGAATAAATCATCAAAAAAAAAATAAACATATTTTTTTTTTTTTTTTTTCTCGCGTTAGCAAAACCAACTACGTATTCTTCGCATAGCTAGTCCTTTTTATTACCAAAAAGGTTAATGAAGCCTTTTATTAACCACCAATTAGACATAGCTATATCTATTATAATTTAAGAATAGGAATCAAATTATATATATAATTATCTATAAGATATAGGTCATATTTGAATTATTTATCGTTAAATTCATGTTAAAATATATTACAATATATTTCATATTAGAAAGTTTTTCTAGAACTTAAAAATGAATTTTTTAAATAAACATATTTCTTCTAATTATTTTACAATATTAATTTAATTAATAAAAATGTAACACATTATATATATATTAAAAGGTAATTTATCATATATTAAAAGTTTACTATAACGGACAAACTAAAAGAGGAAATTTTGAAGAATCAATAAATAGTATGTTTTTACTGGCAAACAATCTAATTTTGACATATAATCCAATGAATATATTAAACTTACCTATTTATGACATTATGTTTGAAGTTATAATAATATTTAAGATATTATTAACTTCTATATCCTGAAATTTTCTTTTAGAGGACAATTTTTTTTAAAAAAATTATTCATAATTTGCTTTTACATATAATTGCTATTTGATTTTAAATCCATCAAAAGAATTGAATTTAATACAAGATATAAAGAAGTTACTATATTGGATCCGCTAACATATTTATTATCTTTATCATTAGTAGAAACTGCTACAATAGATAGTGTCATTGACATAAGTGGTAATAAAACAATAGAAGCTATGTTAAATATTCTCAAGATTTTTTTGTATTTTTGCATTAGATGCAAACTATTTACTTTATTATTGCTTTCCCTTTTTTTCTCTACTACGTTTTCATTTTCATTTTCTATTTTTATTATCTCCTTTTTATCCTTTTCTTCCTCTTTTAATTCCAATTTTTCAACTTCTGTATTATTTTCTTCTAAATTTGTTTGCATATTCGATGAACTTACTTTTAATTCTTCATTTGTTGGTTCTTTTACTTCCTTACCTTCTGCTAAAGATCTTTTAGATCCTAAATCTAATTTGTTTTTTAGGTTGTATTTATCATTCCATAATCTGTAATTGTACTAAAATAAAAATAAAACGGTAAATATTTAAAATAAAAATTTTAATTTAAAAAAAACAGTAAAAAATAAAAAAAAAATTTATAAGTTTTATTATCATCTACATTTTCACAATAAAGTAATATCCAAATTAGTAGGGTGAATAAAGAAATTTTTATAAAAAAAAATAACTTGTTTATTTTTCCTCTCGTACGGTATTTTTTTAAAGTTGAACTATTTTCAATAATAAAATTTTCCTCTTTATGAGAAATGCGTCTAGAATTTAAAATAATATTTGAATTAACATAATCTCTCATGTTTATTTACTTTTATTTAAGATGTGAAATATGTTTTTAATAAGAAATAAGTTTTTATAGTTACTTTTTTATTTTTATATAAGTTTTTATATATTTTTAGATATAATAAAATTCTTAATTTTTCAAAATAATAAAATAATTAAATTATAAAAAGTAAAAATAATATATATTAAAAAATTTAAGAAAAAAAGTTCCTTTAAAGATATTTTGCATTAATTTTTATTATAAAATTTCATAAATATGTTATGTATAAATATTATAAAAATATAATCAATTAATAAAATGTTACATATATACACTGTATCTAAGATTAATAATTGAGCATTTCCTCTAATTTTTTTCAAACAGAAAACTGCAAAAATACAAATTACGCATTTATCCTAAAAAAAAAAAAGGAGAGGATAAAATAAAAAAAAATTAATAATAATATTTGCACAATTAAAAATACCTATTACTGTAAAATAATATTTTGATGTTTAACTCTACAATTGTATAATTTGATTCTGACAATAATAATAAAAAAAAAAAAATAGAAAAATAATTTGTTATAATTTAAATTATAAATTTGGAAATAAAAGTAGTATATGTAGACCTTTATGTTATAACACTTAAATTTTGAAAATAATTAATGATATCTTTTGTTTTATACTAATTATAATGAATTATAGATTTTTATTTCATTATAATTTAACAATATAGTGATATATAATGAAATAAATTTTAGTTATAGAAAAGAAATTAAAATTAAAAATTTATGCATGCATTATTTTATTTTTTAATTTGCAGTATATTATACAAAATACTTTAAAAATAAGAAAAATTAATAAAAATAAGCAAAAAAAGGATAATATGAAAGAAGTACATGCATTTATAATAAAAATCATGAATATGTACTATATTATATTATTTATATTCGGAATATAATTAATAATAATTTTAATTTTATTCCATTAATATAGTGATGTCACTATATTTTTTATATATTTTAATTATAGTAAAAAATTATAATTAAATTTTAAATTGATTACATGCATATGTTTTACTATAAAAAATAAAATAACATTTCAATAAAAATAAATAAATTAATAGTAATTATTATCAGTTATTTATTAATGATTCATTAAAAATAACTATGTAAATATAAAAAAAAATGTATAAATGTTATAAAGTTAATTTAAGTGTCATTGCTAATATAACATGCACATTTTAATTATAAAGATTATTTACTTAATATTAAATATAATCAAATGACATTCCTCCTATTTTATTAATATAATAAAAGAAAAAGAAATTTTTCAATTCACTTAAAGAAATACAATATATAAAATTCTAATAATAATTCATATAAAAAGAAATTCTAAAATTATACTCTTAGTTAAAAAATGTGCTATTCATCTTTTTAAATATCTTAATTTTAATATAATGCAGATAATCAATATGCATGTAAAATATTTAAGAAAATACCTTATCTATCTAACTAAAAATACTATCTCGCAGTTATATATATAATATAAAAAAATTTTTAATTTTTTTCCTTATATATTGTTTTATTTTTTTAGTGTTGATGTAGTTAATAATTTTTTTTTTTTCTTTTTACTAATTTTTTTTCATGGATAATTGAATTTAATTTGAAAAAATTTAATTATCATCCATTTTTGATGAATAATTATTTTTTTCTCATTTATTGATTAAGTACTTATTTTATGGAGAATTGTTAATTTATGTTAACAAAGATTATTTTATATATATTTATAGATGTTTATATTGAGAATTTAAATTTTATTTAAATTGAGAATTTTTTCTTAAATTAGATAAATACATCCTATAAAATAGTTAATGAGTTCAAAATAATAAAAATGTGTTAGATTATAACTATTTATTTTTTCTTATATAATTTAATTATATAATATTACTTATTTATAACGAAAATATTGATATAATTAAAAAAACAAATAGTATAACTGTTCTACATATCCTTTATTAAATTATTTCCTTAATATTTGGTGTATTAATTGGACATTCAAAGATATTTATAGTGTTTTATATAAGCAAGTTAATTAACAAAATACAAAGGTTTTTCTATAAAATTCATCATAATATTAATTATTATAAATAATAATAAATAAACTATAAATTATATTATTTAACACAAAATTAATTTTTAATTTTAAAATTTTATATTTACATAACTTTTAATAATTTATCATTTAATATGAACTTTTTTATTTATTTCGCGATTAAGTCAACATATATACTGTACAACTGTTGTTATATATAACACTACATATTTTTACCACATACTGTATATTCATTATGTAAGAAGCAAAAACACACTTCTTCAAAAAAAAATAATATTTATTTTCTTTATAATAAAAAAAAAATTAATAAATTATTGTTTGAATAAAATACATTTGTATAAATTCTTTTTTTTTAAGTGGACATACAAAAAAAAATAAAAACTTTTTTTTAATATACGTATTTTTAGTATACTAATTTTTCTTAAAATTCACAAACTCTACTGTGCATACTTCAATGTTCAGGTTTTTCTGGCATACTGATTTATTAATTATTCACTCAATGACTTCTGTACTATTAAACAAACAAGTTAATAAAGAGAATGTAGAGGAAACTTTACTTGACTCAATTTTAATTGAATTATGATTTTAATTTTAAATCTTTCTTTTTATTAATCAACATCAAATACTAATTAATATTTAACTATTTTTTTTTTTAAGTTAATTTATACAATTCTTCAAAATGTAATTCCCTTAATATTACATTTTAACTTAAAAAAAAAATATATATACACTCCACAGTAACTTGCACATCATCCAAAAGAAAGAAATTAATAAAAACTATTTTTTTCTTTTTAATATTACTCTTTTTTTTTTAAATTATTTTTTTTTTGTGTGTATATGCTCTTTGAGTAACTATTTTAATGTAGACATCTATGATTGCATACTGTATTAAAAATTTTGCATGCACATAATAAAATATTTTTATTCCATTTATTCATCTAAATATTATACAAAGAGGTCGGTAATATTATTTACAGACCATTTGAATAACTATTTATTTTCCATATAACTTCTACTTTTTATTCTCATAATAGTTAATAATACCTTTTGTTAACTTTCTATAATAATTATAGGCTCCTAAAAATGACCATAATAGTTAGTTACATTTAGGCGTCTCTGTATAAATAGTTTTTTTTTAGTATATAAAATGACAACCTAGCAAATCTGTGATATATCACTAGTCCTTGATTTATTAATTGGGTGTTCCGAGACTTTGCTAGAGTACTGAACAAACAAATTAATAAAGAGCATGTAGAGTTGCCTCTACGATTTTGATGTATTTATATATATTTTTAAATGTTTGAACGAGTGATCCTTAATTATGTAATCTACTTCATTCAGCATTCTTTGATTTCACTAGGCATTTATTGACTTTAATAAAAATCCATATTTTTATTAAAAATTTATATCCTTGTTGAACATTGATTATTATTTAAATGTAAATTACTTGTTTATTTGTTATGAGTTACATTCAGCAATTAATATATATTGCTGTTGAATTAACAAACATAAACAATTAGTAAAAATGCAAATAACTTATATGAATATTAGTTACGTATAAAATTTTATTGTAATATATATAAAATTTTCTCTTATAAATTAAAAATATAAATATAATACCAATTAAACTCTTTTATGAAAACATTATTATCTTTTTAAGATCTTATTTTTTTATTGGTGCTAAATCTTACTCTCGATTCTAATTTTACCAATTTTTTTTCTCCCTCTAATTAAATCATTTAAAAAAAAAATAAACATATTTTTTTTTACTTATCTCCATTTTTCAAAAGAAAAACAAATCAAAAAAAAAATTTTAATAATTATTGTTTTTTTATTTATTTATTTTTTTTTTTTTTTTCGTTAGAACAACCAAACTATGTATTCTTCATATAGCTAGTCCTTTTTATAACCGAAAAGGTTAATGAAGCCTTTTATTAACCAGTCCTATAATATCTAATGAAACCATATCAAATACATTCGGTTTTGATAAAGCTTGGTTATTATTATATTTAAATTTCCTATTATCCATTACTTGACAAATCAGACAATTTATGGCGTATTCTTCAATATCTTTACTAATATTGGTCCACTAAAAATGTTTTTGTATTTTCTTTAATGTTTTATTTACTCCACAATTTCCTGCGAATTTACTACTATGAAACCAATACATTAAATGATTTCTATATTTTTCTTATATATATAATCATCCTGTTCTATAGTGAACTGGGAAATCATCCTTCCATACTACGTCTCCTGGTATGTTATCTTTATCTTTTCCTGATGCATTTGCTATTTCCTCGCAAGAAGATATAACGTATAAATCTTCATATACTCCTTGAGGTTTACTACAATATAAGGTCATTTAATTAGGAAGATATGTTTCATCTTCTATTGATCTGGTGATCCAATCAGCTAAGCTATTTTGAACTCCTTCAATATGTTCAAATTCCAAGTTAAATTCAGATAGTCTTAACTTCCATCAATATAATTTTCCAGTATTAATTGAATCCATTCCAATAATACCTTTACCATCTGTTTTAATTAATGTCTTAGATCCTTTAATATAATAATCGAATGTTTCACATGCTACTACTATAGCAAATAATTTTTTTTCAACCGTACTCCATCTTTGTTGTACTTCATTTAATTTCTTCTATTTATAATGAATGAATCTACTTTGATTTATGTTCTTATCAATTTAAGTCAATACAGCTCCTATGGCATAATCTGATGCGTCAGTATAAATAGTGTAAGGTTCTCCTAATTCTTGAAATGATAGATAAGTAATTTCTGTAATTTTATTCTTGATTTGTTCAAAAGCCTTTGAATACTCTTCTTTCCATTCAAATTTCTGCTTCTTAGTTATCAATGGAACTAGTTTAGAAGTCCATTCTTAAAAATTCTTAATATAATTCCTATAAT